GCTTGCACAAATGTCTGGATCTGTATGTTTGCTTGCACAAATGTCTGGATCTGTATGGTTTGCTTGCACAAATGTCTGGATCTGTATGTTTTGCTTGCACAAATGTCTGGATCTGTATGTTTGCTTGCACAAATGTCTGGGTATTGTGGATCTGTATGTTTGCTTGCACAAATGTCTGCTTGATGTCTGGATCTGTATGGTTTGCTTGCACAAATGTCTGGATCTGTATGGTTTGCTTGCACAAATGTCTGGATCTGTATGGTTTGCTTGCACAAATGTCTGGATCTGTATGGTTTGCTTGCACAAATGTCTGGATCTGTATGGTTTGCTTGCACAAATGTCTGGATCTGTATGGTTTGCTTGCACAAATGTCTGGATCTGTATGGTTTGCTTGCACAAATGTCTGATCTGTATGGTTTGCTTGCACAAATGTCTGGATCTGTATGTTTGCTTGCACAAATGTCTGGATCTGTATGGTTTGCTTGCACAAATGTCTGGATCTGTATGGTTTGCTTGCACAAATGTCTGGATCTGTATGGTTTGCTTGCACAAAATCTGTATGGTTTGCTTGCACAAATGTCTGGATCTGTATGGTTTGCTTGCACAAATGTCTGGATCTGTATGGTTGCTTGCACAAATGTCTGGATCTGTATGTTTGCTTGCACAAATGTCTGGATCTGTATGGTTTGCTTGCACAAATGTCTGGATCTGTATGGTTTGCTTGATGTCTGGCTGTATGCACAAATGTCTGGATCTGTATGGTTTGCTTGCACAAATGTCTGGATCTGTATGGTTTGCTTGCACAAATGTCTGGATCTGTATGGTTTGCTTGCACAAATGTCTGGATCTGTATGGTTTGCTTGCACAAATGTCTGGATCTGTATGGTTTGCTTGCACAAATGTCTGGATCTGTATGGTTTGCTTGCACAAATGTCTGGATCTGTATGGTTGCTTGCACAAATGTCTGGATCTGTATGGTTTGCTTGCACAAATGTCTGATCTGTATGGTTTGCTTGCACAAATGTCTGGATCTGTATGGTTTGCTTGCACAAATGTCTGGATCTGTATGTTTGCTTGCACAAATGTCTGGATCTGTATGGTTTGCTTGCACAAATGTCTGGATCTGTATGTTTGCTTGCACAAATGTCTCTGCTTGATGGATCTGTATGGTTTGCTTGCACAAATGTCTGGATCTGATGTTTGCTTGCACAAATGTCTGGATCTGTATATGTCTGGATCTGTATGATGTCTTGCTTGTCTGGATCTGTATGTTTGCTTGCACAAATGTCTGGATCTGTATGGTTTGCTTGCACAAATGTCTGGATCTGTATGTTTGCTTGCACAAATGTCTGGATCTGTATGTTTGCTTGCACAATGTCTGGATCTGTGATGCATTCTGCTGCTTGCACAAATGTCTGGATCTGTATGTTTGCTTGCACAAATGTCTGGATCTGTATGGTTTGCTTGCACAAATGTCTGGATCTGCTTGCACAAATGTCTGGGATTTGTGGTCTCTGCTTGCACAAATGTCTGGATCTGTATGGTTTGCTTGCACAAATGTCTGCTGATCTGTATGTTTGCTTGTGTCTGGATCTGTATTTGCTTGCATGTCTGCTGACTTGCAAATGTCTGGATCTGTATGTTTGCTTGCACAAATGTCTGGATCTGTATGGTTTGCTTGCACAAATGTTTGCTTGCACAAATGTCTGGATCTGTATGTTTGCTTGATGGATCTTGCTTGCACAAATGTCATCTGTATGTTGATGTCTGGATCTGTATGACTTGCTTGCATGTCTGTCTCTGTTGCACAAATGGGAATCTGTATGTTTGCTTGAATCTGCTTGCACAAAATCTGTATGTCTGATGCTTGCACAAAATCTGCTTGCACTCTGGATCTGTATGTTTGCTTGCACAAATGTCTGGATCTGTATTGATGTCTGGATCATGACTTGCTTGCATGTCTGTCTCTGTATATTTACTTGCACAAATGTCTGGATCTGTATGGTTTGCTTGTAGCAATATGCGGAACTCTGGTTTTAAGCATGTATGCACTGTGTTTACATGCGTACATGATATTAATGATATAGATTCACGTTATCAGATTTCGAGTCATGCCATTGCCATAAGTTGTGCTTTAGAAATGTGAGAATGTGAATTTTACTATCGAGTATTTAGGCGGTTATATATGTGAATATTATGAGGTTTAGTGAGATTTTTCAATCCAGTAAAGATTTAATAGTATAAATTATCCATATTCAAATGTACAATTTTTCCCAACAGCTAATAAAAAACTCACATCATCACAGAAGACATTGAAAAACGAAAAAGCGAAAAAGAAAAAGAGACTTGCAGACCTGGAGAAAATGACCAAAGGCGAAGAAGAGGACCAGAATGAGAAAAGCTGATATTTAAACTCCTCAATTAGAAAGCGTCATGTTACTGCTTTCCCTTGATTGGCAGAGTTACTCTTCACTGATGAAACGGTGTTCGACTTGTATATAACAAAGCATAAACATTTCCACATTTAAGTATGTATATATAACTAGAAAACTCTGTGAAAGAATACTGTATATATTTTCTATTATGATTTAAAAAAATGTTTCGACAATAAAAACAAGTTTTATTTTTTTTAGCTATATTTTCCCCAATGTGGGTTTTTTGTAATACAAAGAGAAGTAAGAATATAAAATATTATATCTTTGGATGTAAGTTCACAAATAAATTTCACAATAAAATATAATAAATACATAGATATCACAAAAAATGGTACATTTTGAAAATAAAGATATAACACTTTGCACGTCTAACAATTGTCGACTTTACTGGATTTCCTCATACCAATTGCTATCCTTGTGACACGATCATGATAATTACAAAGTAATTGGATTGCCGTGACAAATAAGTTGCTCTTTTCAAAAGCTTTTGAGAATCGGCTGTTTCTGTTCCTTGATTTCGGGAAAAGTATCATACACACAACAATTGCATCTCAAAGACAAATATTATAAATCTCAAGTCACATTGGCTTTTATTTATAAAAGTAATAAAACTTGGAATAACGTCTTTCAGCATACGAACCATTCTCTGCATATTAAAAAAATCTACTCTAAACTTTGTAAGTTATGTGTTGATCTGAAGAACATTTTAAAGAGCGTATACACAATGAACATGAAGATCAGGTCACTGGGTGATTGTAGGCACACTTATAAAGCCGATTGTTGGTGCAAGTGTCGACACCTTGGGTGCCACGGGGACACCGATGCGTCTGCGCGTGTGGCGCTTCATGTGTTTGGCGAGGTGGTCGGACCGCATGAACTTGGTGCTGCACACGGAGCACACGAACTTCTTCTCTCCGGTGTGGGTTCTCTTGTGGCGCGACAACTCGTCAGATCTTGCGAAGCGTCTCCCGCAGCTTTCCCAAGAACAGTGGTAGGGCTTCTCCCCTGTATGAGATCGGTTGTGAGACTTCAAATGTGAGGATTTATAATAAGTTTTATCACAGCCTTCAAACGTACATTTGAACGTTCTCTTTCTATCTTCTAAGGGCGTCTGCACCTGCGGAGCGGACACCAGGATTGGAGATAACACTTGCGAGACCGCGGGTTGATTGCCTCCTTGGGAGGCAACGATAAAATGTGTAATTCCTGAATTGGAGACTGGAATCATGGCGGGGGAGCCGTTAACCTGCGTGATGATCATCGGCGTGCCAGATGGGACTGGAATAACGGTTGGGATCTTTGGTGCGATGGCAACGAGTTTGTTATTCGGTGGCGTCTTCGAGAGCAGGGCGGGCTTGAGGAGCGGCTCCACGGAACCAGGATTGGGGGCATTCACTACGCACGGCTTAATCCCAGCCTTGAACTCGCGATCTGTGTCCTTGGAGTTCACGAAAATCTGTTCCTGCGCGGTGTGGACGCTTTGCGAGGGGAGCGGAGAGGCGGCGCCGAGGAACGCCGCCCTGGAGTGCGGCCGCCGAACCTCGTCCTCGTCGCCGCATTTGCAGCTCTCGTCGTCGGCGTCGCCGGGGCTCTGCGTGAACTCGTACATCTTCCTCTCCGCTAGCGTGCGCGGCCGGTCGTGGTTGTGCCGCTGGGGCTGGTGGTCCGCCTTCACGATGACGGACACGGGCACGCCGGAGAGGGAGGCGGGCGTAGACGCCCTGGAGCCGTAGTTGGGCAGCGCGGGGCTCGGCGAGCGAGGGGGCGTGCACGGCGCGTGGGTTGGGGTCTGGCTCAGCAGCACCTGAAACACAAGGCAAAATTCCACTTTAAAATTACCTTCAAAATTTCTATTCAAGGAAAACATTCACTTATGCTGCAACTTCTACTGATTTATATTTTGCTAGGAACTACTCGTCTAATTACACAGACAGACAACAAGGGGAAAAAATCTAAGTCGTTCCTTTGAAATGCAAAGCAGTTGACCAGTGGCCATGGCTCACCTTGGCTAAGTCGGAATTCATTCCTTTCCTGGCCAGCAGCAGGGCCTCGCAGTGCTCCTCGGCGTCCGACTCGATGGGGTAGCTGGGCGAAACCCCTCCCTGGGACGCAGGGGGGGAGGGGGGCAGCTCGATGGCGGGGCTGGTGGTGCTGTCTCTGTTGGACCACTTCATCTCGTGCTGGGACAGGAACAGCAGAGACTCCACCGCCTCCAGGTCGGTGTAGGTCTGCTCCTCCATTTTCGAAGGCTTGAACGGGTACAAGTCGTGCTTGTAAGCGGCAGGCTCTGTGTAGCCGCGGGACCCGACTCCTGCAGGAAGGAAGCCGCCCGGGGGGGTTGCGCACTGTCTGCGCTCGGGCTCGTCCGCTTCGGGGTGGTCGTGTTCCAGCACCTGCACAGAAAAGAAAGTAACCATTTTAAGTATATAAAAGGAAATCATTTCAGTATATGCTGCTTTGTTGCGTTGTCTTTAGCAACACAGTATTTTAGCAATATATTTCTCCGCCTCTTTGTAACATACATAATGGTAAAAAAAAAAAAAGTCCCCTCCGATTACATGTACA